CACATCCATATCTATATATATATATATATATGTGTATAAAATATTTATATCTGAGTCAGATGTTGTAATGGATGAGACAAAAATTAGGAATCATGTACAGTGGTGCATGCCTGTAATCCCAGCGGCTTGGGAGGCTGATGCAGGAGGATTGTGAGTTCAAAATCAGCCTCAGCAACTTAGTGAGGCCTCAACCAACTCAGGGAGACCTTGTCTCTAAATAAAATATAGAAAGGGCTGAGGATGTGGCTCAGTCATTAAGTGTCCCTGGGTTCAATTCCTGGTACCAAAAAAAAATAGGAGTTAGGTTTGGCTTTGCTGCTATAACATAGATCCTAAAAATTTACGAGAGAATAAAAAGTTCATTTCTTTCTCACTTTACAGGACTGAGCAGTTTCAGGTCAGCAGCAGAGGTGCCAAAGGGGGAAGGTGGGCTCTTTGCCTTGCAGCAACTTGGGTGACTGCAGTTGTGCTATCTTAAACACAGGGCTTCTAATGTCATCACTCCTGGAGACTGGGAGGGGATCAAAGGATTGTGAGTAGGTGGTTTTTATGGGCTAGGCTGAAAGTAGCACACACTGCTTCCTTTCACAGTCCAGTACTCAGTCACATGGCTTCACCAAACTGCAAGGGAACCTGGGAAATGAAGCCCAGTTATTACTCAAGAAGGAGAGGAAGTGGATTTGGGGGAACAACTGGCAGTCTCTGTCTGGATTGTGAAAGGAAAAGCCAAAGACTGCAAATCTGAACCACTGCTCATAACTTTGCCTCTGAGCACTTTGTCTAGTTGCCTCTGACCATCTCTCATAGTCCTTGCCATCTTTCAATTTCTAGTTCCCTCACACAAATGTATCCAGCTCCTCTTGGGTGATTTATGTCAGCCCTAGGCACCTAGATTTCCTCAACCTATGTGATCCTTTGCTCAATCTTCCTCTGCCTCTCAGCACAATATCTGTTTGCTTACCTGGCTCAGCCTGTTCTAAGAAACGAGTCCAATTTTGATGGTCAGTTGGGATAACCAGATGCGCTGGTTGGTGAGTCAGTAGGTGGCACTCTGTGTCAGCAAGACAGCCATTGAAAAACAACGCAGGCTGAGTGAGCATGAGCACTCAGGCACGCTCAGGAGAACCCACAACACTGGACCTACTTCCTCAAGGCTGAACTTTCAAAAGGGCGGCCACACCCAGGCTGACCAGTGGATTGTTGAAAACAGGGATGTCAACATGCTCTGAACTGCCTGCCAACAACAACATTTCCTTTGTGTTGCTGCTTTCTTCATGTTGCACTCAGGAAGGGCAAAGAAGTTTGACCTGTCTGGGTTGGAGAACACTGTGAGCACTCTCCTTGGGGGTTTCTCTCCCTGAGTTACATACAGAAAGAGGCCTGCGTGTTTTTAAATGAGAATTGAGGCGGCAACTTTCATAACCACTGATTAGCCCTGTTTACTATTAGGAAATCCTAGGATCCCCATCAAAGGCCTCATTGTTTGGCTCTGTGTCTCTTTCCCTTTGTGACCTTACTAAGGTAGCCTTTCCTTCAGCTCATCTCATTTTTCACAGTACTATTAAGGTGTAGATGAAAGTGGTAAAAGAAAGATTTGGAGATACCTCTCCTCATTAAGAGCTTAAACTTTGTATTTAGCAGCCCTAAGGGGGGATGGGGAATCTGCTGATGAAGAACTTATTTTTATCTATGTACATGTGTATCCCTTGGTTCTGTCTCTTTTTTGGGTCCAAATTCAAACATTTAAAACTCACATGCCTGTACTTATGATTCATGCGATCTCCGTGTCATGATAAACAAAACAGGTAGCTTCATGGACAAAGGAGGTAAGAATACCATGGCTTCTTATTGGTCTTCATTTATTATAAAAGTCTCCCAGATATAACAGGCAAGGAATTGATTTTCCCTATTTCCAATTCGTACAGTACTCTATATGAGAGATTAGTATTTTGAAGTCATCTAAAAATTTTGTATATTTATTATTGATCATCTGATCCTTAGCTGTATTTCAAATTAAGATGGCCATATGAACATAATAGTTCTTTCATTAGTAATGCCCAACTCTTCTTCAGTTAGTCTTTTTTAAAAAAGACCTTTCCCTAAAACATTTCTTTTAAGAAATGCTTTCTCATTCACATCTACTTGACTCACAGTGTTTCTTTATATTTTTCACTCATATCACAGACCTGGCTAGGCCTGTGGATCTGAGGAGAGGCCAGGTCATGCTGACAAAATGATGCCTAAATCTCAATGATTTAAATCAACAAAAGTGTGTTTCTCTTTTGTGCTCCATATCCAGGGTGGATTAGGAGGGGCTTCTGTGCACATCAACAGGGGCTTCATCCCAATATGGGTTCCATGATCACAGAGCTAAGATAGGGGAACACATACTGCCTTTGAAAGCTTCTGTCTGGAAGTGATATGGCACCTCTGTTCATATATTGCAGATCAAAGTCACATGAGCAAAATTACCTACAAATTGATAAGAATTATAGATTAAAGGAACAAACACTGCCTTCCATTTGAATAAGTTTCACAATTTTAAAGTTCTCATACCTCAGAGGCACAGAAAGGGTAGGTTAATGCTTTCCTCATTGTATATATATAAAAAATCCCAAACTTAGAGATATTACTTTTTTTTAAAGAGTGAACAACTTTTCTTTAGCTTAGATTATCATAATTGCCAGTTTTTTCTTTTTAACTTTCTACAACTTTTTAACATTGTAGATTGGTGCTCCATAGCCCCAGGTTCTGCACCTGCAGATTCATCCAACTGCAGATTAAAAATATTTACCCAAAATAATTTGCCACAACATTGGCTCATCTGACCAGTACATGTACATGTACTTAACATGTACAGATTGCCCATCAGTTCCTAAACAGTACAGTACCACAGCCATTTACATAGCATTTATTTAGTATGAGGCAGTATAAGTAATCTAGATATGATGAAATGATACATGAGGCTCCACCATCTACATGAGTTTGAGAGTAAATGGGATATAGGAAAATAAGCAATGAATTCCACGGCCCAACCATATTCTAGTCTCACGTCTCTCACTCTTGGAGTGACCTTGGGAAAGTCACTTAGCCCTTCCAGTTTTGAAAAACAAAAACAAACAAACAAATAAACAATAACAAAACAAAAACCAAAGGGAGAAATGTGGATGGGGTCCTAAGGACTTTTTCAACTACAGAAGTTTGTGATTTGTGGGTGAGGTTTGTTATTTATGATTATTGCCAACAGGTGGCAGCAAAGTCCCAATTTTTAGTGAGTTGAAAGAGAAAGCTGTCTCTTGGATCAATCCTCAATTTCAGAGAACAGTTCATTTTGTTCTTTCTAAACATGAGGAGAAAATGAAACCTCCAAAATTAAAATTTCTATAATTTACGGAATGTGTATAATTGGTGTTGTAAAATGAATTCAAAAGTAGGGCTTTGAAGATGAAAATTTGTTTTCATTTTATTTTTAAAATAAAAAATAGTTTTTCATAAACAATTAAATTTAGTACTTCTAGTCATTTTGTGGCTAAAGGTCTTAGGCTATTAAAACTACCATGAAAAGGAACATTCAGAACCTGTCTTTTCTATCTTTACTTTTTAACTTAGATGAGGAAGTGTGGACAAAGAATCCAGAAGTTTCTCTTTTAGATCTCTTTCTTCTTCCCTCCCTCCCTTTTTTCCTCTCTCTCTCTCTCTCTTTTGTGGTGCTGAAGATTGAACCTTGGGCATGCTAGTAGGCCCTCTACCACTGAGCTACACTCCAGTCTCGGGAGTTTCTTTTTAAATATTGGATAAGCTTGTCATTTTTTATATTAAAATAGGTTGGGCAAAGGTTTGTATACATAGCAAAATTATAATGTCATTACATTTCACACTTTGCTATATCTCCCAGTAAAATGAATCCCATAGAACTTTTGAAGAATGTAAAACCTTATTTGTGAATTAAAATTCTCTGGATTTTAACAGTGTGAAGTGAATGAACTGGTTTTGGAACTTTGAAATTTACTATCTGTAAGTCTTCTAGAAACATTAATTTAAACATGTGCATGAATTTATTAAAGTGTCAAAACAAATATATTTATGCCATTTGATTCCACTGCATTTAATTTTGTTAACAAAGCCATGATTTGTGAAACTGGCAAATGCTATAGAAAAGACTCTTGTAGTTGCTGTGCTGCAGGAAGAGTCTGTTAAAAGAATTTATAATTTTAATAAAATGGATATTAGATAGTATGCTTTCTATGAAAATTAAAGAGAAGGTATGCAAACTATTGCCCTTAATTCTTCTTGAATTATAGATTTGTGTATTCAGCTGCCTCCTTGACTTTTATTCTTAGCCTTATTTAGTATAGACCAAAATAGTACTTAATGTGAACATGCAAATTTAAGTGATGAAGATAATCAGGTCCCTTGACCTGCAGATTTAATAGCATTATTTATTAGCAGTGTTGGAATTATAATTATTTTATAATTATATTTAAAGAACATGTTTGTTTAAATCAACCATCATCAGAAAGTAGCCAATAGGCAAAAGGAAAACTAAAAAGGAATAACTGGGTTAACTGGGTGTATATGATTAATTCAAAAATCTGGAAAAAAAAAACACTTAAGCTTTTATAGAAGTCCATTCTTCTTAGATATTCCTATTTTACAGCCGAAGAGATTTATTGGTAAAATGGTTGGCATGAAGCCTCAGATCCTTCAAACTGCATTTGCAATTTTGTATCTACTAGTACTTCCATTATCCATGTGCTATATTTCACCTATTCTTCCAGACAGGGCATAACTCATTGTCTATAGCTGCCTTGTTCAATAAGGTACCTACTAGCCACATATAATATAAGATACAAAATAAATGCATATAACGTTTAGGTACTCAGTTGCACTAGCCACATTTCAAGTGCCCAGTAGCCACATCTGATGACCTGATTGGACAGCACAAGTAGAATCATTACTAAAAGTTCTACTAAACTGGACATCGTGGTGCATACCCATAATCCCAAGTTACTCGAGGGTCTAAGGTGGGAGGATCATGAGTTGGAGAACAGCCTAGATAATTTGGCATCTTAACAACAAAATTGTTCTACTGTATAATGCTTTTCTAGAATGTATAACACTAGGGCTGTGGGTCTGTAGGTGTCACCTTCTGTATACATAATGTCCAACTTCTATAACTCAAAAAAACATAAAATACACATTCGAAGGAAATTATATATTTGCTTTCAATTTGCTCTTCTCAACCAATGAATTTTCTTTGTGTAGCTAAGTTGATGCTGTTAATTATTATTTGAATAGTTGGAGTGTATCACAAGAAATAAAATATTGCGAAACTTTTGAAAGAAAATGTCTCTCAATGAAAGCCTTTTCTAAGATAATTTTCCCTCACTTAATATAGGAGAATTTTTTTCTTCCCTCCAGAAAAAGCTCACTATTCTCTTGTGTAACTAATAGAGTTTATAATCTAGCTATTATCAGACAGTTTTGACATCAAATAGAAAAGGTGGACAGCAGCACAATAGGTTAATCTTTGACCCTGGGCATCCTGCCCGTGTTTAAGAAGCTCAGGTACAGTATATACAATCATAGTGGATCCGGAGGGACAACTGGTCATTGATCTGTGAGTGAAACTTTTTTATGTGACTAGTTCTTCAGGCTTTAGAACAGCCATGGTTAGGCAGACAACTGAAAATAACTAATTGTTCTTCAGGGACTGGAGTAGCAATAACCCATTTCAATTGAAAGACTTTCTCCCCAGTGTCAGTATCTGCATTATTTTGTGTTGGCATGATATTTTAGAATAATGTCTCAGAAAACTATTGTCTCCTTTTCACAGGCTAAAATAATATAGAGAGAGGCTCCCAGTAAGGATGAATCTTTGATGGATGGCAGGAGAGTTCTTAAAGTTTGGATATCATTCTTGGTGAACATTTCCAGATGGGATCTTTGGATCCAGTATTTGGGCTGGTGCATCATCTTTTCATGATGCCCAATAATGACTGGATTTATTTTTAATTTGTTTGAAATGTTAGA